CCCTGTCTCAGCCCTCTTGCCCCTCAAGACAAGCCTGAGATGTGACGTCAGCATGGAAGCATTCCTGAGTCCTGGACTAGTTGATGTTCTCATGCCCATTGCCATTGAGTCCATTCCGACTCATAGTGACCCTACAGGACACAGGAGAACTGCCCCACAGGTTTCCAAGGAGCGGCTAGTGGATTCGAACTGCTGACCTTTAGGTTAGCAGCCGAACTCTTAACCACTGCGCCAGCAGGGCTCCGATGTTTTCATAGCACCCCGCATTCCTCTTGAGAGAGTGCATGTTCTATTAATTTAATTACATTTTTAAGTTACGTGTTTAAAATCTGTCTTCCCTGCTACAGCATAAGCTCCAAGTGAGCAGGACCCATGCTTCTCCTGCTTACCTGTGCCCCCGCTGCCCAGCCGAGGCCAGACACACAGCAGATGCCCATCAGCACCCGCTAAATGGAACAAAACCCATCTCCACGCCCCTGTGCTCTGCACCAGACCTGCACCGCCGCGCGGCGTCCCTGAAGTCAGCTATGCAAGTCCACGGACGACGAAACTTTAGCATCGGAAGGAAGCCAGGCATCACAAAACCAATCTACGTGAACACGTTGTTGTTGTTAGGTGCTGTGGAGTCGGTTCTGACTCACAGAGACCCCATGTACAACAGAACAAAACACCGTCGGGTCCCGCGCCAGCCTCACAGTCATTGCTGTGCTTGAGTCCACTGTTGCAGCCACTGTGTCAGTCCATCTCGCTGGGGTCTTCCTCTTTGTCACTGACCCGGTACTTTACCAAGCATGATGTCCTTCTCCAGCGACTGATTCCTCCTGACAACATGTCCAAAGAATGTTAAGACATAGTCTTGCCATCCTTGCTTCTAAGGAGCAGTCTGGTTTTACTTCTTCCAAGATAGATTTGTTCATTCTTTTGGCAGTCCGTGGTATAGTCAATATTCTTCGCCAACACCACAATTCAAAGATGTCAATTCTTCTTCGGTCTTCTTTATTCATTGTCCAGCTTTCACACACATATGAGGCGACTAAAAACACCATGGCTTGGGGCAGGCACACCTAAGTCTTCAAGGTGACATCTTTGCTTTTCAACACTTTAAAGAGGTCTTTTGCAGCAGATTTGCCCAATGTAATGCATCTTTTGAATTTCTGACGGCTGCTTCCATGGGTGTTGATTGTGGATCCAAGTAAAATGAAATCCTTGACAACCTGAATCTTTTCTCCGTTTATCGTGATGTTGCTTATTGGTCCAGTTGTGAGGATTTTTGTTTTCTTGATGTTGAGTTGTAATCCATACTGAAGGCTGTGGTCTTTGATCTCCATCAGTAAGTGCTTCAAGTCCTCTTCACTTTCAGCAAGCAAGGTTGTGTCATCTGCATATCACAGGTTGTTAACAAGTCTTTCTCCAATCCTGATGCCCCATTCTTCCTCATACAGTCCAGCTCCTTGGACGATTTGCTCAGCATACAGACTGAATAAGTATGGTGAAAAGATACAACCCTGACGAACACCTTTCCTGACTTTAAACCATGCAGTATCCCCTTGTTCTGTTCAAATGACTGCCTCTTGATCCATGTACAGACTCCTTATGAGCACAATAAAGTGTTCTAGAATTCCCACTCTCTGAAATGTATATTATGATCCACAGTCGAATGCCTTTGCATAGTCAATAAAACACAGGTAAACATCTTTCTGGTATTCTCTGCTTTCAGTCAGGATCCATCTGACATCAGCAATGATATCCCTGGGTCCCTGTCCTCTTCTGAATCTGGCCTGAATTTCTGGCAGTTCCCTGTCGATATACTGCTGCAGATGCTTTTGAATGATCTTCAGCAAAATGTGGCTTGCATGTGATATTAATGATATCGTTTGATAATTTCCACATTCGGTTGGATCACCTTTCTTGGGAACAGGCATAAATATGGATCTTTTCCAGTTGGTTGGCCAGATAGCTGTCTTCCAAATTTCTTGGCACAGACGAGTAAGCACTTCTGGTGCTACATCCATTTGTTGAAACATCTCAGTTGATATTCCATCAATTCCTGGAGCCTTGTTTTTCACCAATGCCTTCAGTGCAGCTCGGCCTTCTTCCTTCAGTACCATCGGTTCCTGATCACACATTACCTCCTGAAATGGTTGAACGCTGACCACTTCTTTTTGCTATAGTGACTCTGTGTGGTCCTTCCATCTTCCGTTTGTCAGTTTGTCGTACTGTGGGGGCTTCTGTGTTGCTGTGATGCTGGAAGCTATGCCACCGGTATTCAAATACCAGCAAAGTCACTCATGACAGACAGGTTTCAGCTGAGCTTCCAGACCAAGACAGACTAAGAAGGAGGAGTCAGCGGTCTACTTCTGAAAAGAATTAGCCAGTGAAAACTTAATGAATAGCAGTGGAAAGCAATTCAAGCTGAAACTGAAGAAAATAAGAACAAGTCCACGAGAGCCAAAGTATGACCTTGAGTATATCCCAGCTGAATTAAGAGACCATCTCAAGAATAGATTTGATCTGTTGAACACTAATGACCGAAGACCAAACGAGTTGTGGAATGAGATCAAGGACATCATACATGAAGAAAGCAAGAGATCATTAAAAAGACAGCAGAGAAAGAAAATACCTAAATGGATGTCAGAAGAGACTCTGAAACTTGCTCTTGAACATCAAGTAGCTAAAGCAAAACGAAAAAATGATGAAGTAAAAGAACTGAACAGAATATTTCAAAGGGTGTCTCGAGAAGACAAAGTAAAGTATTATGATGACATGTGCAAAGAGCTGGAGATAGAAAACCTAAAGGGAAGAACACAATCACCATTTCTCAAGCTGAAAGAAGTGAAGAGAAAAATTCAAGCCTCGAGTCGCAATACTAAAGGATTCTACAGGGAAAACATTAAGCGATGCAAGAAGCATCAAAAGAAAATGGAAGGAATACAGAGTACTTTAACACAGAACAGTACAATGTAATGACAGAGGGGCTTGGAATAGAATAGCTAACACCCCCAGCCTGGGAAACAAGCTCTAAGAGGACTGCCACCCACCCATCACCTTGGAGAGCCAGGACCCCAAACCGAAAGATGTCCACCTCACAGAGCAGCTACGTACCAGCAAGAGATGGTTCAGTCTGCACAGATGTCCCAACGCGACAGCGTGCCTTCACTCAACACGTGAGTGTTCTTATATGTGCATGCATGTGTATATGTGTGTTGTTTTGTGTGTGTTCCTGAGTTTGTATATGCATTGTGTGTGCGAGTGCATGTGTGTATATGCATGTACGTTCTTGTGTGTGTGCATGTGACCGTATGTGTATTCTCTTGTGTCTTCTCACGTGTGAACGTGTGCCTGTGTGTATATGCATGTATACACATGTGGATGTATACGTGTTCTCATATGTGCGTGTGTGCATTCTTGTGCACGTCCATGTGTGCGTGTGTGCGTGTGCACGTGCGGCAGGGAGGCTGCAGAGTCTGAGCTGATCTGAAGACACCACTTGTAGAACACAATCTCTATCTCCTCTCTCTTTCTCCTGGACAATGAACACCATGGTCCTGTCCTTCCGTCCTGTCTTGCTGATCATTCAGGCAAAGGCATTAAGAATCACTTGGGTCTTAAGACATAAGCTGGTGGTAAAATAGTTAAGACAAACTTATTTACCACATTAATTAAATGGTCTGTTTAACATGGAATATCAGTTCTCTAATCACATCTCAGCTGAACGTCTTCTCTCAATTAGCAGCTCTGAAGCCTACTGACAGAGGTCCTACTGTTCTCGGATCATTATGAACACAGTCATTATCTGTCCATTGAGGGAGCAGAGAGCGCGGGCCTCCCCTCCTTACGAGACGATTGAGGGGCGGCAGCAGCCATTCTCATCAGCTGCTGAGCAACGCAAAGGCCTCCTATGAAACAATCAACGGGAGCAAAGTGCGAGAAGTGTGGCAATGAAATTCACTCCATGGGTATGTTCTCGTCCTTGTAGGATAGTCTGCCCTTCATTAAACCTAATCTCTCCAGATTAGGACAACGATGGAAATCTGAAGCAGACCAGAAACTGAAATGGCTGAAAACACAATCTCATAAAAACAAGCAAGCACCAAGTGCGAAAGGTTTGTGCCAAAACAAATTAAAATTGGTCTTACACAAAAATACAAACACTAAAGAGCAAAGGCCCTCCTTTTCTATTCACATTTTATTCACAGATAAATAAACAAGCAGATCCTTCACGTATACTCAGAATTGAAAAAAAAAACAACTTAATACACGTCCAAAACAGACAAAGTTATATATTACACTTAGCGACTATAGCAAAATGAAGGGACAAGTATGCAGTCCTTAAAGAAAAACAGCACAACCCAACCTACATCTCCATTAAAGTATTATTTTGCATGCAGTTAATATTGCCGTAAAATAAAATGCTACTAGCGTATCAAATGTAGAAAAGTGATGAAACATCACAGCAACGCCATTAAGAAGACGCGCTTTTCAGCTTGTGAGCAAAACATCCCACCAATACTCTACCACCTTAACCTCGTTTGTGGACATCCAGACCACGAAAGCCAGCTCTCTGAAGGCAGTGAGCACAAACCACTCTCCGCACATACAGTACGCTTCTCTTTAAACATTATTGAAAAGAAGACGTCTGTAATTATAACTGCATTGAACGCCTTCAGTAGTTCAGCACACGGATTGAAGGCAGCTTCTTAACGCTGGCATTACTGAGAAAACTGTCAGTCTCTACAATTAGTGGGCATTAATAGCAAAAAACTAAACTTAATGGCAATTTCGAGTCATGGTATTAAGAGCTGGCAGTCTGCTCCTGTAAAGACGACAGCCTAGGAAACCCTATGGGGCAGCTCTACCCTGTCCTAGAGGGTCAGGGTTCTACCCCGTCCTAGAGGGTCACTATGAGTTGGAATCGGCTCGACGGCACACCACCACTTCCGCAGAGTAACACAGTGAGTGCACTGCAGTTCTCTTCTCTGACTACCACAGCGTGCTCTTACCTATGTGTTCGCAAATGAAGACCACAAAGAAAGGAGTGACCAGGTCATTTATCCCCTGGACGTAGCCGCTGGCGGGGTGACGAATTGCCCATATAAATAATATCCTCTCAAAAATCTGAAAGAAAATTGAACAGGGGATGAGGTCAAAAGTAAACACATGGGAAAGTTTAAATTGTATTCATTCTTTTACTTAAAATATATAACTACCAATATTCTTCACTGCATCTACTATTAAAATATAAATACAAACAAACATCAATTGCTATTAAATTTATTGGCAAAATTCCAACTATCTTGAGTGTTACTGACTCACAAACAATGTGCACGATCTCACCAGCTCCTAGGCTCACGCTCTCACGTGAGCTGGCTCTCAGGAAGATACGCCCGGCTCCTCCCGCCCCTCGAGTCACTATCACACACAGCCGCCCAGGACTCTGTCGGGCAGCTCGGCAGCACCTGACCTCTCGGTGCATACTTCCTCAGTGCCTGGTGGATGGATCGATGGATCGATGGACAAGTGGGTGGAGGGATGAATGGGTGGGTGGAATGCGTGCGTGGGTGGATGGATGAATGGGTGGGTGGATGGGAAGGATAGGTGGGTGGACAGATGGATGGGTGGGTGGATGGGAAGGATAGGTGGGTGGATGGATGGGTGGGTGGATGGATGGGTAGGTGTGGGTGAATGAGGGGGTAGTGATTGGGTAGGAGGTGAATGGATGGATGGATGCATGCATGCTCTGAATTTCCCTCATAAGGTGGATTTTTTTATCCCTGGAAAGTTACCCCACACGAGAAGACATATTTAAGCATATTCCCATCAAAAAAAGCCTCACCAGCCATTCAATGGCCCCGATGATAAATGTGGGAGTTAGCCTAGCCTCCTGTTTAATTACAACACTCACGTTCCGCTGATCCTACCCCTTACCATTCCTCATACCTATCTGCTCTTCTCCATCTTTAGTCATGACAGGGATTTTCCCATGGTGCAACACACTCCCATCACCGTGGACCACACGCGCACACAGACACACACGGCTTAGAGACCTTCACTTGCTCCACACCTCCCACCAGGCCAAGCCGAGAGGACACAGTGCAGCGCGCTGGCCTCCTCTGGGTCCAGCACATCTCAAGGCCCTCCTCCACCAGCACCCACGTTCTCGCCGCACTGAGCTAAAGCAGCTTCGCAGAGCCCGCCAGGTCACCCCCTCGCACCGCTCTCCTGCCTGGAGAGCCTGCCCCCCCTTCGCTCTGAAGAGCCTCCACTTTAGCTAGCTTTGGAGACTCATGTGAAGCACTGCTCCCTCAGTGAGGGCTCTGCTGACATCTCCTTCCTCCCTGCTCCCCTTGGTGACTCTCCCGTCCTCCCTTCTCCCCACGACAGACAGCTGTTATAGAGCTTTACCCGGCTCCCTCCCTGACTCACTCACACCCCCCTCAGCCTGCCTGTGGGCCCGTGGCACCCCGACATGTCGCACTGCTCTGTGTCCCCGGGATGTGGACTAACAAGACGCCCAATAAGGGCTTCACGAATGGACGCTCCAACAAATGAAGGACTTCCGGTATTTCCAAACAAGCCAGACTTTGCAAAGTCAGCTGGACTTGCACCCTAGGACGTCGACCTCTTCCTACACTGCCTACGTTCCTAAATATCATTGGGTCTGGTGTAGATCCCCAAACCACCATCAACTGTGCCATTTATAAATGAGGAACATGGAGCCCAGAGAGGTGAAGCTCCTCAATCCAGGGCACACAGTTGACAGAGACAAAACCAGCCCCTGGAATCCAAGCCCTTGATCCCCAGCCCAGTCCAGGATCACTGAGGTCATTCCAAAGGCATCAAGTAACGGCCTTGCATTCAGGCCCTGCGCCCCGCACAGCACCCGCGACACTGCTGAATGGGTAATACATCCATGCATACAGATTCATACACAGCTTTCAAGTCAGCGGCTTTCTAGAAAGAGCTGAATATTTAACCAAGATCAAAACACAAAAATCACTCAACAACGCAGCCCAATTTAAGTACTTCTTACGCACAAAAACAAGGCAAGTGATGCTAAGGTGTGTGAGACGCTGCCGTTACCAGAAGGGGTGGCAGCACCAGAAGGGCCTCACAGCCTCCCCTCCCGAGTAGAGCAGCCCTGAAGGTGGCCACAGGGCAGGGTCATGGGCAGAAAAGGACCCCGGCCACGTCGCCTCTCAGCCAGGAGTCAGAAATGTAGCAGCCACAGCCCTCACAGCAGCCCAAGGCCCGGAGACGGGCACGGCCAGGAGCCAGAGACGTGGCCCTGCCACATGAGACTCACAGCCCCAGACTGCTCACCAGGGAGCCTCCTCTGGGGCCTGGGGGCCCAGAGCAGATGGGCAGCTGTGGGGGTCTAGACAGGCTGCACAGCGACCAGAGGAGTGTGACATGGAGGCAGACAACAAAACAGGGTGGGAGGCAGTGGCGGCCGACCACCCAGAGTGAGGAGAAACGGTGCTGTCCTGCGAATATCTCCTCACTAGGATGGCCTAGCGGTCACTACGCCCCAGTGCCTCCTCACTAAGATGGCCTAGCGGTCACTAC